TCCAGCCAAATGTCAAATATCTAAATCTTTTTCTTTATGGTGGGCTCTTAATTCCCATAATGTTATTAAATCTTACAGGCTTCTGCTGCATTTACAACAAGAAAACGGGACAAAGTACAATGTTTTGGAGCAGTCAAAAATCAAGTTGTGATTTCAGTAGTACTCTGTGCTGAGTACCTAACAAGGTTTTGAATTTAGTAAAATATTTAATACCTAAGGAACTTTATTCATTTTGGAGTCAGGAAGATCTTACAAATATTAAATATCTTTGCAGGAACACTTAGTCAGTCTGGATGAGCCAGCCTCGGAAGCTGGACAAGAAGCTCTGCTTAGACAAGAGCAAGCAAAAATCATTCGTTTTGAAAGGCAAGCGGAAGAGTTCCTCAATGCAGTCTTTTACAGAAAAGGTTGGTTTTAATGGCGGGGGCAGGGGGGAGAATGGTATCTCTTGCTGGTCTTTTTGCATGCAATGCAGGTATCAAAGATCTGATGTTCAAGTTGTCATTGTATGTTCAGTATTTTTCATTTGTCTTCTATATCAAGAGTAAAAACTGACTCTCCAATAATGTAGCAATACAACAGTGTGGGCTTGGGACAGAGGAAGATAGTATAACATTTAACCCTAAAACAAATCTCTCCATGAGAACACTGGTGTTTTGCACTTTTGGAGGAATGACTCAGTTCTTACCCAGCCTGAAACCAATGTTTAGGTGAGTGGGCTGTTTGGAAGAAGGGGCAAGTAGCGGTGGTAGTAGTAGGTGGGTAATTTAAAAAAAAAATTTTTTTTTTTGATGGGATGTGTATTATTGCAGTTTTTCTTAAAGGTCAGCAGTCGTCTCACTATGGTCTGTAGTGATTACCCACCCCACTCCCAGCAATCCACAGCATGAAATATTGTTGGAATAGTGCTAAGGGGATATATGGTGATTTCAAAATGTGATCAGCAAAAGAATTGGAAAATCAGTACTGTAGGATATGCTCAGAACAATAACAGTAGCTCAATGCTAGAAAATCCTCTAAATCTCTTCTGGAGAGTTATGTCAGTTAAATGTGCTCTTAGGAAGGCACAAAACTAATTTTACTGTTTTCTACCATCTGAGAAATGCGAATCCAGAGGTTGCTTCCAAATGCATCCTGAATGAAAGTACATTGTACTTATCAGTCTAACCCATGTGTGAGAAAATCTGCCAAATCAGTAATTCCAACCTGTCTGCTGGGGGACAATGCAAGGCTTCAGTTTAACAAATTAGAGATTGCTGTAACCAGTCCTCAGCCCTTCCTCCCAGTGACCAAAATATTTAAAGGTGTTTTAAGTAGATAACAGTATCTTAAGCCTTTCTTTTATGGCTCAAATGAATAAATACAAACTATACATTATGATGTATTGCATAAAGTATAGAAGCATTTAGGGTAGTAGGAAGGATAGTTATTGCATTACTACTGATAGTTCAGATAATGCTTTTATTCCAAGTCTTCCTTTTCAGTAGGGTGGGTTGTTTTTTTTTTTTGTTTTTTTTTTTCTTTTAAGGTTGATGTTTCCTTTTGCCTTTAAACTTATCCCTTCTCTCTTAAAAGCCAGAAGGGATTTAAGAAAACAAAAATCTAGAGGAAAATATATTTTTTTCCATATAACTTTTCTCCTGAGAGGGAAAAAAAAAAGGCAGTTCCATCACTTTGAAATTGTTTATTAAAGACTTCATCCCTTTAACATTGAGCTTAAATTTTTATGTATGACCTGTGAGCATGTATTATTAGAAATGCATACTTCCCTAAGTCTTGGAAGACTATTGGCAGATATTGCAGTGTGCTGATGAGGGGTTTAACACTGTCCATGCTCACATACACAGAATGAAGATAATGAAATCACTTCAGATGTCTAAGAATCTTTGAGGTTTTTTTTTAGTATACTCTTGCTTTCCTTCCTCTGGCAAAGCTGCTTGATGCGAGAGTAATAAGGGAGGGGAAGAAGCCTGGTAGAAAGTCAGTTCTGAATCCTTAATGCATCAGTGTCAAGCTTGGCTGTGTTTGGATTGCTTGAAAGGTTATTCCAACTCATGCCACTGCCATAAGATCCCCAGGCACTGTCATACCAAAGAGGACACAAAGAATGGCAGAACTCTGATGCTCCTATGTTGCTCAGAGGTGCTGGGCTCTCCTGGTTTCATGCCAGTGATTAGTTCTTTTTTTCTTTCCATCCTCACTGCCAGTAATGTTTGAGGCTGGTATTTTGTGGCCCAGGCATATCAGAGAAAATGCAGATGTTCTGCAAACAGATGCATGTTGCCTGTCAAGGACGTGCACTCATCCACTTAACATATGTAGGTAATTAGCAAGATCAGCAAACTTTCTGAATAGGTTTACTGTCCATTAACCTTGCGTACTTTCTCTCTGCTTTGTGCTTGTGGCACTCTGACTCAGTAATGCTTCTTTGAAATATTCATACTTTCCAGTGAAATCAGAGAGTTGTAGTACCTAGTTGTCTGTTACCTCCTCTTGTGGCAGGATAGGACCTTCTTTTGACAGTTTAATGAAATCATACCTTTTCTGTTTGATACTGCCCTTCTAAGATTTCAGTGTAGATAAAATACACAAAAGCTATTAAGGTTTTAAAGCTCAGAGGTCCTGCTTTAGACTATTTATAGCTGATAAATATTTGCTGTATTTTTTTCTCTGAGAATATCTATGTTTTAGTTAATTTTAGTTTCTTTTTTTCAAAAAAGGTAGACACTTGGAGTCAAAATAAACATCTGGTTGATTTCAAGTGATGTTGCAGAGGCACCAGCAAATATTTTGCACTCGCTTTTGAACAGCTTTAATCCTTATATTCAAGCTTTATATTAAGCAAGAAGCCTTTAATGTGCTAGGTAACTTACCCTTCTGGTTGAAAATTGAGGTTTGTGTCCTGAATTAGAGAGTTTATCTTGAGCAGCACCAGAAAGCTCTCGGTAGTCAGTCTGTACTGATTCTTTGAAGTTGCAGAATACAAAAATGCATGGTGGTAGGTGTATATATAGTATTTTCTCCCTGAATTTGGAATTGTACATATGAACATGGGTGCACAGTAAAGGCGTGATTCTTCTTCAGAAAACATAGGAGCCATAGAACTCTGCCTTACTGCCAGTGCCACTTGTGTATATGACAAGCACATGCCAAATAGTTGGCAGTGTGATCATGCTGTCGGTTTGTGTCCCTCTGGGCTTTCCTAGAGCCGTTCACATGTCCTTCAGCAGGTTATAGTAAAGAGCTTAGAAAATGGAAGAAATGTCACCATAGCAGAAAAAAGCCTCCATGCTTCTCCAAGCTTGTGTCTTCGTGGACCATTTGGGAAGAAAGTGAGGATATAAACGTACCTAAATTTAAGTTTGCCTCATCTCTTGGTGAATTCTTAAAACTCTAGTGTCTCATCCTTAGCAACAATAAAACATCCTGTAGATTTTACAAGAAAATGATTAAGTATTTACATAAACATCTCAGAAGGTCACAGCACTATACCCTAGTAAGAATACATGCGTTGACTGTATAAGGTCTTATATTTAGAAAGCATACTTAACAGGGAGGAATTTGGGCTCGATTAAGTATTTAAAGCTCAATATGGTTTTTCATCAAGAAACACAGTAGCTGCTTACTGCTGCTCTCTAGTTTGTGGGCAACTACATGCTCAAACCTTCATGTCAATCATCCTTTACAGATACTCTGAAACTGTTTTGTTGGATGGATGCATTTTTGTCAAAAATGGTTGTAAAAGGCAAATCTAATGCTGAAATGTCCCACAGAAGATTTTGCTAATGCTTCTAATAGTTAGATCTCAATAGATTACTTTTTAACCTGGGCAGGTTTTTTTTTAAAGAGGAAGTAAACACTTAACTACTGCTCAGTTTTGAGAGCTGCTTTTAAAGATTTGTCTGGTCGTCTAGTGCGCAATTTTCTCTGTTTTTTTCAGAAATAGAAAATCAAACTTTTGGAGCCATTTCTGGAGTTGTTGGGGGAGGGGTGGGTGGGGATTTTTTGGGTTGTTTTTGTTGTTGTTGTGGTTGGTTGGTTGTTTTAAGCCTGATTTAGCCAGAGAACACAAGCAGTGTTTGAGATGAGCTGGCGGGACTTAGCTTCTGTGATTTAGTTACAGATTTGCATTGACATCACAAATTATTACTGGTCTAAAATAGTGATTTTTGCCAATATATTTTTGGGTTGCCCACACCCCCAAATACCTTTTGTATTTATGTGCTATTTCATATAAGTAGATTGGAATGTCTACCTATTCCATTTCACATTTCTTACTAATAGATTTAACAGCTCTTCTAGAAATACAGTAACTTTTCATGTGACACATATTGGGTTTTTGTATATTTGAAAGCTCTTTGGGTAATACCTGGTGCCGCATTGATTGTAATGATAGAAATGTCGAAAGGAATAGATAGAATGGGATGGAAGACACTTGAACGTCTGATCTTCATGTGAATTATTTTGAAGAATCAGAGCTATAGGGCTTTATTTCCTAGTAAATTTGTAGGGGACTGCTGCAACTGTATTCCCCCTTCTCCCCTTCTGTAGCTGCAGGTAAGTTACTCAATTCTTCCATTGAATAACCTGTTCAATTTTTTTGGAATGAGCTTCATTACTTGGTACTTTTCTTCATGAGTCTAGCTGTCCTTTCCATTTCCACACCTCTTAAAGGTCTGGTCAAATATATCTATATCTGAAAACAAAAGATGAGATGCATATTTCTCTTAGGAAGCTGTTATTTTGGGAAGGTTATACCAGAATCAGCAATGGTTCTTGTTCAGTTATTCTAAGAGTAAAGGACATTTTCTACAGAAACTATTTTATCTTTGGCTTTAATTTTTTTCCCTAGTTGGTTGTTTGGTGTTTTTTTAAATAAACAATGACTTAATATAAAAGCTGTTTTACTTAAAGTGCTTCCCTAAAAAAAAAAATCTCTAATGTTTACAGACAGTCCTAGGGTCTCTGACCCCAATATTCCCCTAGTGGCCCGTGAGATCATGCAGCGAATGATCCGACAGTTTGCTGCTGAATATACCTCAAAAAATAGCTCTACTCAGGACTCCAGCCAGCCCAATAGCACAAAGAACCAAAGCCTGCTGAAAGCATCTCTGGTCGCCTCCTCTCCCACGGCTGCAACTGCTCAGAACCCTGTGCTCAGCAAACTTCTCATGGCTGACCAAGACTCACCTCTGGACCTTACTGTCAGAAAGTCTCAGTCAGAACCTAGTGAACAAGGTAGGACTCTTATCAGTGTCATGCATCCTACAGCAATCTGTTAATGGCATTCTTGTTGCAAAACCAGACAGTTAGAAGTCTGCACTTTCACAGAAAATGTAAAGTGGAAAAGCGGTAGATGTTTTTACAATAAAATAATGACTAGGTAGGTGTGGCTGGGAGAGAAGAGACTTTTTGAAAGAATGTAGGCCCATAGACATGAGTGATTTTTCTGAAGAAGGGCAAAGGGGATGGACATGCTCCAAACTCTGGGGACAAGTGTGGTGTTCCTGCTGGGAGCTGCAAGAAACAGTCTGCCAAAATAGACTGTACGCTTGCTGATAAGACAAGTTCACGTGGTCATGAAAACCATAATGTTGTCTCCTTTCTGAAGATCAGTACACTGAATGAAGGAATGATTTATTTTCTTTCTGTTCATAGTGTGAAAACAGTACCTTTTAAAAGTCTGTGAGAAATTGCTTTGTGAAGGCTGTAAAAATGATACCCATGAACTGTATAAAACTTCCAGGTTTATATGTTTGGAAGAAATGTCCCTTTTCTACCTTAAAAATAGACTTGTTCTGCAGAGCACAGATTGAATAACTTGTAACAGTGTTGCAGAGCTTGTTCTAATTTGAAAAGCTTGCTTTCCATCAAAAATGCTTTTTAACAAGCAAATTCTGTGGGTGATTATAGGATGTGAATGGGTTAGGGTTTTTTTCTGAAACTGTTGAATAGAGGTTATCATAAATGTATCCTACTGATAGGATTACAATTAGCCCCTTTACCCTTCTTTAGAAATGTTAGTGTCTGAAATAATTCTGTCAAATATGAAGTGGGCTGTCCATTCTGAAGTGGAAAAGGTGCCTTAAAAAAAAGCCTTTTGCTAGCTAGTGCAGAATTGCAGGTATCCCTTTATTCTTTGACCTTATGTTTATGAATCCTTTTGTAAAAAGGTTAATTTTATGTGTCCAACAATATGCAGCTTGGGCGTCTGGACACTTACTGCACTTACAGCCCTTACTGAAAAGTTGTCGCCACGCTTCAGTTACAAAACTGCAGCGAACGGATATATGGTGTCTGTCTTGAAGTGAGGACCTGTACGTTTAGCTGATAGGCATTTGTTTCTAGCTAATTTTATTATATAAATGTATTTCATGAGTGTCTTTTGCATATATGTTTATAAATGTTAAACTGTTCTTATTGTGAAGCTTTTTACTGAAAGAGAGAGGGAGAGAATGAGTTTTGCTTCTGGTTTGTTTTGTTGGGTTTTTTTTTTTTTAATTAGAGGGTTGTATGGTGAAGAAGAAAGTATATACATGAACTGTTCTTTAGCTACCATGTGATGAAAAAGCTGTAAGATAATTTATAGTGTTCATAACACTTGTTATGGAATTAGAACATGTGCATATTCACTTATACAGTAATCTGTTTGCTGATGTAATTATTTTTTTTCCAATTTACATTTAACGTAATTGGGAAGAGATTTTGCCAGACTTGTTAATGAGAGATTTAAGAGGCTGTCATGAAAGACTGCTAGTGGTACTTACTGTTTGTTATATTTCTGTTTAGAGGGTTGAGGGGAACCCAGCTAGTTTGTAAACTTCTCCATGAGGCTGGTCCTACTTGCCCTTGGAGACTTCTAGGTTGTAATGACCCTTCTGACGGAGGTGGCATGGATGCAAGTGCCTTTGGCAGCAGTCTGTGCTGTTTAGTATAGCCTCTGGAAAAGGAGGTGCTACTTGATCCAGTCTCTGTATCTTGTGGCTGCCTAAGTGTTGTTCAAAAGGAAGATAGAATTGTCTGCTTGCTTAAGTTTGGGTTATGGTGTGTTCCCAAATGTGGTGGGTGGAACAGCTTTCCATAAGTTAGTTCTAGTTCACTATTTATCATGGTTTTTCCTCCATGTCAAATGAGAACTTTAAGCAATCTGAAAGCCATCTTACATTGTTCTTGTGTTGGGTGGTGTTTACTTGAGTAGATGGAATGAGCAAGGAGCTCTGAAATGTCTCGTTTACTTTGCCAACAGGTTTCATTTATCTTTGCCTCATAAATTCCTTGTTCCAAAGTTTCCAGGAATTTCAGATGGCTGTGCTGCTTCTACGACAATGTTGCCCTTATTAAAATGACCGGAATTTCAAGTTGTTTCAGTGCAGTGGGAGCAAGGCTTTTCTAGCAAAAAGTGTTCCTTTTTCTGTTGCCTAGAAATGCAGAGTTTATGTAAGGGCTTGCAGAGGAGCATGGGTGAGTGAGGAAGTGTCATTAGTGAGAATGGAAGAAACAGTCTAGCAGGAAAACCAATTTTGTGTATGGAAGAAGAGAAGGACTAAAATGGCACAATATAGAGGGGAAAGGCAGCAGCTCTGCCAGTAGGGACCCATTGGCGACATGGAAAAAAGGATGAAGCTAGCTGCCAGGCGAGGAGTCGTCTCACATTTGTGTGTGTGTGTGTGTTCATTTGAAAGTGAGTTTCCAATGTGAAATTCTCAATGAATTTTCCTATGGCGATTTGGATCAAAAAAAATTCAAATACTGGCTTAAAGCCCCCCAAATCTCAGAAATGTAAAGAATGTCTCATTTTAGGACTGATGAGGGTGAGTCGTGCTATAGACTATGTTGTATCCTGAACTGTCATTTGTAGGTCATCTTCTGGTCTCTGGCCCTTGTAACAGATGCACATTTAATTTTGTCAAATTTTGTTGTGACTTCTGAGGACTATGTTGAAGTCACTTGTAAGCCAAATTGCAAACAAATCCAAGCCTTAGTTTGTTTAAAAATAAAATAAAATAGAAAATGCTGTGTGCTAAATATGACTTTAGCCCAAAAGCCTTGTTTTGTCAAGGGGCAACATGGCTGATCCTGTTTCTTCAAACACTGAAGTCATTCTTTTGTCTCTACAGACGGTGTGCTTGATTTATCCACTAAGAAGAGTCCTTGTGCCGGCAGCACCTCTCTGAGTCATTCTCCAGGGTGCTCCAGTACTCCGGGAAATGGGTAAGAGAAAGCAACTTACTATGACCTTTTAAAACTGTTTTTTACTAGAAATGTGTGCTTACCTCCTGTTAGTTTTAACTTACTTTTGGTGTTAACCCTTTGGAGTAATGTGTTTTTCAACTTGTACCTTTGGTAAATACCTTCATCCCACCTGCCAAATAAGAGTTGTTGCAAACTGAGACAGGCTTAACTTGCAGTTAAGAACTCTAATACTGTTGTTTTGGCCAATTTCTTAGCCAAAGATCTTGCCATTACCTGCTTCTTGAGTTCAGTGATAAGTGATGTCCATGGAGGTGCAAGTTCACCTAAATGTATGAAGAATCTTAGAGGCTTTGCAATATAATTTAGATTTCATTTCACTTAGGGGAAAGTTAGCTAACAGAAAAGTTTATTTTAGTGGTAGCAATGATTTGGGTGATGAACCAAGCTGAATTAGATTTGAATCACTGCATACTCTTTGTTAATATCTCCTAGCATAAACCACAACTTAAAAGAAGAAAAAGGGGGTGGGGAGAGTGTGGTAGTTCAGAAAATTTTAAATACAGCTTTTTGGATTTGTGATTGTACTGTAGCACTGAACAAGTTTTTTGGTGGTTTTTTGTTTTTTTTTTTTTTAAAATGTGGTGTACTAGTCTTGCCTTAATTCAAGGTGTGAAAGAATGTTATATCAACAAAATTTCCTTAAGGTTTCATATTTCTAATGGTCACCGTTTGCATACATTTAGAAACCCTTTACTCTTAGCTAGGATTGAATTAATTGTACTGGAGAGGCCGACTGTGGCAGTAAGAGGGCTTTTGGGTGTTGATGGTACAATTTTTTCTTGAAGCTACTGTGAACAAATAATTTTTTTAGAAACAGTATACGGTTTAAACTGCCATTTAATTGCTGGATTTAGCTTTACAATAGACTTTGAAAAACTAGAAATTTTAAACTAACAACCCACCACCACCACTAATCCCATGTACTGCTAGCAACTGATTCAACTTTTGCATTTCTCTTTGGAAAAATATTGTTGTCTCAGATTTCTCCCTTCAAGATTACTTTTTCCATTTAATATTTCTATTAATAAAATACTTCAATCCTTGTTTAAAAGTTAGTCTTAATACTTTTTCACAATTCTTTAGCATAAACCTTCCCCACTAGCTCCTCTCTTTCAGTTCCGAACAGGTTATTTCCAGCTTTATTTTCCTAGGAAGGCAGCAGTAGCCACCGAGGCTGTGTATTGTTTGTTCCCTTGCTTGTGTATCAAGTGAGGGCCAAAGTCCAGCGCACAGGGCCAGCATCTGCCACTGTCCTGATCAGTTCTGTGGGTCTGGAGAGGATGTGGCATACTGGCACCTGTGGTTACTTGTGCAGGTGTGTGGTAAATGAGGGTGACTGCAGTCTGTTTAGCATCAGTGAAATCAGGTGTGACCCTCTGTCCTAGGGTATATGACCTTTATTTAGGCATAGAATCACTGGTGCGCATTCTGATGCTGATACATGCTGTAGAAGGGGCAGAGAGTGCACGTTGCTTGAGAGAGTTCTCCGGAATAGCAAACTTTCATTCACTTACCTGGATTTTGTTCTGAACCCTTGTTAACTCTTGTTACCCACTTCAACTATGACCTACTGCATCCTGGAGAGAAGCTAGCAGCATATGTATTGAGCATTATGTGGATTACATGCCAGGTCCTTTCAGTGGACGTCTTTTCTCTAAAGACTTTTTAAATGATTTTTTTTTTAATCCCAGTGTGATGTTAAAAAGAATAGTGTAGCTTTTCAGCAGTACATATCCTATCCTTAAATAATGCTGACTTAGCTAGAGGCTTTTACACCAGTATAGTGTCCCAGAGCATGAAATAGAATTGCTTACTAGTCTCTCTGTTAATCTGTATGTTGAACATGGGAAAGTTTGGGGGTAGATTTTGAAACTAGTGTGACTTAATTACTACAGGGGGCTAAGCAAGCAAAATATTAAAATACATGCGTTTATCTGCAGTAGTGGTACTGTGTGTCAATAGAAAGAACACTCGTGATGAAAGGAAAATGGTGAAAATACATACTGCTTTTTCTGCTATTAACCCTCGATCTGGATGACAGTTGGAACTTAGATCTTTTTTTTTTTTCCCCCCCCTAGCCATGCTATGTATCAGATGAGAATGAGGGACATGTATATATGCAATTAGTTGTTAAGAGAGCAATTTGGTAAGTCTAGTGTAATGCAGTGCTTTCATATTTGCTGCTTAATGAAAGTCAAGCAAATACCTTTAAGGCCTGCTAAGCATTTTTTTTTTCCATCCTGAGCAGCAATTCTTCAATATGATGTAAGCGAACATCATCCAAGGTTTCCACCTATGTGTAGGTACTGCAGGTGGCAGTCATATTTGCATGTTGAATATGTTGCACTTTGGCTTACTCTTTTATTACTGTACTTGTTTAGTGGTAACGTCACACCAGTAACACAGTTGTGTGTAGATCTATGGCGATTGATTACTACTTTGTAATTAAGGTGCTATTTTCAGACGCTTGCGCGAAGTCTTTTCTACTCCGAGAATTTGTGAACCCAACCAGAGACCAGCCAACAGGTTTCATTTTTCTTTGCCCAAAAAGCTTCTCTTTTTTTGCGAACAAGTTTTAAAACTGACTGATGCTGAGACTTTAAAAAAAAAAAAAATTAAAATAAAAAAATAA